GGTATAACATTTTTCCTCACCCATCACAAGGGTCACAACCCACAATCCTTTAACAAAAATGTTAACAAGAGAAAAACCCTAAAAAATATCTTTAATCAAAGTTTTGTGTGACATGGGAGCCTTCAGAAATAAAGACCCAAAGATGAAGAAAAAATTGTTTTATGCTTGGGTTCAGTGAAGAGTAGACCACCACGTGGAATTGTGATTAGACTCTCTGTGGTGACTGGACAGGGCACCCCGCAAGGCCTGTCTGTGCAGACTCTCCTCAGCCTCCTTGCAGGGCCGTCCTTCCTCCCAGTATGGAGGAGGAGCCTCTGGAATGAAAGAGAAGGGAGAAGGTGACTTTTCTAGGTTCCCTGACTTTAGGAGGGAGAGCAGAATTCTGGTTTCTACAGCTGAGCTTCAGGGAGACTGCGAAGAGCAGGCAGGAGACTGCGAGGAGTTGGAAAGCTCCTCTCTCCAAGGCCTCCTGGTGCCCTTTGGTTCCCAGGGCTCAGCTTGCAAGGCCCCTCCAGGGGTGGCCCTCTGAGCCCCCAGAGACAGAGGAGGAGGACAGAGACAGATAACATTGGAGCTCTGTGTCTGCCCATGAGGTGATCCATTTCCTGATTTCTGTATAGGTTTACTAACCCTAAAAGGTCAGGGGCTGGGGCATATTCCTCGGTCCAGTGCTTCCTAGCATGGATGAGATCTGGGTTTGATGCCCAGCAAGCGCTGCCTTCAATCAATGTACAATCAGGACACAGTGCTCAAAATTTCTCATGCAAGATCACTGCTGCTTCTGTCTCCACTCGATACAGATGTCTCCAAATCTCGGTGCATTGTCTCTTAGCAGAAATCACAGGCATAATATGTATTTTACTCTGAACCTTGAACTACATCTCAGTTCCTTTATCTCTTACATAGCTGGGCAGACAGGAATTCACAGTGAATTTTAGGTAGTAGACCTTTTTGTTTTTAAAAGGATTCTCTTTTCTTGTCTTCTGGTGTGCGGGGATAGCAGAGACACTGCCCGCGGTACAAGTTTTGTGCAACCCACAATGCTTCATTATCCCAGTCAGCTTTCTCTTCATTGTTAGTGTTTTCATTTTCACAGTAGCTCATGTAAATAGGATGATCCTGCTTTGCATAAGCAGGTTGATTTATATGAATGCTATTTTGATCTCAAATTGATTGAGTACTAAAAAGAAAGCCTAGGAGAAAGAGCAATGTGTTATCAAGGTCTCCTGTCAAAGACAAAAGCCACTAGGCTCTACATACTTTCCCCATCAGTGACGGGGGTTTGTACTGCCTTATTTTAAGAAGAGAATACAAGAAATACAGTAAAACACTATAATACTGAGCCCCAAGTGTTTTAAAATACAACGGATCAAATCACATTTTCAAAATAGCACTCCACCTGTAAAAGCTCATCCAACAAAGAAAAGCATGAGGTTTAACATTATCTCCAACACCAGCATTAAAAAACCTTAATATTATTTATAACTCTACATTGCAGATGTAATGAAAATGAAAGAAAAGTTAAAGTTCACAATCCTCAGCCAGAACTGGGCGTCTGCTGTCTCCTATTGGTCCTCAGTAACCAACTGGCAACTTGAAGGATTTAAAAAAAATTATACCCAGTTACACTTTCCTCCTCATTTTCTTCCCCATCCATTGTGACCCCAGTTGAAATTCTGCATGCTCTTAAATCATCAACCAAAGCCCTGCTTTTGGTGAGGAGTTTGATATCAATATTCGCATTTTATGTGCATTCCCTTTCCAAGAATATTGTCCTCTTGAATCTTGTCACTCACTGTGCAGTGAAAGGGGTCCCCATCCCTCCCCTGGAAAGACATGTGCAAGCAAAGAGGTTGTTCTGGAGCAGCCTGAGGAGCCTGGAACCCGTCCTCATCAGTCCTGAAATCTGATTTCTTTGATAAGCTTCTCAGCACCCCTCCCTGTGCAGGCCTGGTCCTGGCCATTTCCCAGGGACCAGAGCAGCTGCGCTCATGTGCAGACCTGTCTCCCACTGCTAACTCAGTTTCCCGCTCCTTGCTTCCCTCTGCACCCCAGGTGACTTACCAGGGCTACCCACCTTGCAAACTAAGATCTCACCTACTTCAGAACTGCAGGTATTCATCTACGGACAAATCATTTGATTTCTGTGAACCCGAATGTCTTACTTATGCATAAAGATGACATACAGAGTCAAAGCATAGGTTTTTGTTGTTTTTTTTTTAAAGAGCCCTGGAAAGCAGAATTCTACTTTTATAATCTCAGGGGCAGTGAACAAGATAGTGAAATTTCTGAGCCTCAATTTTCTCATCTGTAAAATGGGGCTAATAGGGCATTCTGCAGAACTAATTAGACTAGTATGTGGTCAAGTACTTTGTAAAGTGTGGAGTTTATAATATTGGGAGTGATTATTATGCAAACATTGGGAGGTATCTGAATTATTAAAAGACCAGGTGTGACTATGCCAGTGAGTGATCATCTTTAAAAAGAGGGTTCCTAGCAATGCTTTCGGACAGGGGGTGTATACATTTGTGTTTCACTGTAATTCAACCTCAGAGATTTGCTTTTATGAGGGACTTCTCTAAAAGAAGCATAGTAACACTAATAGGAGTTGACCTAACCACTGAAAATCTAATGTTTATTGTTTTGAAGATATTGTTGATTGAAAAGCAAACCAAGCACTACTAAACACTCCTTCAAAGTGCTCTTAGCCAGCTTTCCCTAAATGTCTTACACTTTAAACATTCTGCATCCCCTTTAAGCATTGCATAGCCATAATGTGTGTACTGGGAAATCCAACAGGTTTTCCAAACTTGTCTTTAAAAGCTCAGGATAATTTTTTTTAAATACCTAGAGGAGAAGACACCCATGAGGAGAACTGTACGGTTAGACGTAGTGAAAGCTTCCTAAGAAACACTCCTACTCACAACACAGTCTCCTCACATTGCCACTTAGATCTATCATTCTGATTGATCACTGTGTAGTCTGCTATTATTGAGCCTAATTTAACCCTCTCCACTCACACATCCATCCACTCTGTCTATTGTACCTGACAGTCTACAAATTACTCACTCATGCAAATGGCGACCCTGGGCAACCTTTTAGGAGATTCGTGTTTAATTATACAAATGGTTCTTGATAAATAAGATTATACATCTTTCCATATGTTTATTCCCTCCTTGATGAAAGGAAATTTAATTTTCATGCAGATTTGGTGGGGACAGTGTGGAAGAATTGCTGAGCCTCCCAGAGTCTTCAGTCCCGGCCAGTTTGAGGGAGCTGAGAAAACCCACCCCCACATCCATTGTGAAGACAGCGCCTTGCATTAGGCTCAAACCCACCTGCAGCAAATTCTGACATCCCAACCGGGCCCCTGTGTATTCCCAGGGTCCTTTGCAAACTGTAAAATTCCCAGTTTACCTTACACTGGTGGCTCTAGTCGCTTCCGGTTGCTGACCTGTTTATCCAGCTGACATGTCTTGGTCCTGACTGTTCTTACGGATTTCTCCCACAGGTCTGGGCAGTGAATTCGGCAGGAAAAGCCCCCAGCAGCTGGACGTGGTGCAGAACCGGGCCTGCGCCCCCCGAAGGCCTCAGCGCCCCCACCGTCCACACGGTATCCTCCACCCAAGCCGTGCTCAACATCAGCGTCCCTGCGAAGCCCAACGGGGACATCAGTCTCTACCGGCTGTTCTCCAACACCAGCGGCGCCCTGGCTGTGGTGAGCGGCTGTAGGGCTGAAACACACCCTAGCCTTTTTGATTTTTAATTTTGAGACAGAGCCTCAGTAAGCCGCTCTGGTGGGCTTCCAGTTTGAGATCCTCCGCCGCAGCCTCCTGAGTAGCTGGGAATTTAGCCACCCCCTTTCTTGGCTGGGAACTGAACCCAGTGCCTCACACGTGCCGGGCGAGAGCTCTCCACTGAGCTCCACCCGTGCCCCTTGAAGTTCCCTTTTGGACCTAAACAAATCTCTAATCACATGATGGAAGCTGAGTCTTTCGGTGAATTCCAGAAAGCCTGGCCTTTTGCATGGGACAGCGGGCTCCACTGCTCCTTAGCACGTTCGGGGCACACGGAGGCAGGGGCGGATGTGCAGGGAGCTCAGCTCCCACTCTGGGCTTTTGGCCGGCACTTGCTGGAGGGGCGCAAAGGCTCGCGGGCGTTTCGGGCATTGATTGGGCCCTTGGGCGGCTGGACGAAGTCTCTCCCACCTGTTCGCGCCTTGGGCCAGTCTCGCCCGCTCAGCAGCAAGTGGAGATGATAACGCTGTGTTCACACAAACCTAATAGACTGTGTAGATCCCAGTATTGCACTATAAATTATTTAGACCAATTTAGGAAACAAGTTGGGCAAGTGTGGAGAAATCCGCTCAGACCAAGGGCCGGGAACCGAAACACAATTTCCAAAGATAACTCATACGGCGAAGGTTCCCAGTGAACGGTAAGGGAATATTAGCATATTTTCCACAGGGCTTTGTATTCAATAAATATAGATGATGTAAATACAATCAGCCCTTGATTATCTGTGCTTATAAGATGATGATACTAATAAACTAAAATAATTTATATTTGGAGTGCATTGTATGCATTTTCAAAACTTTTCCTAATCATATATTATGTCAGTGTGGAAATTAATTTCCAGTTTCTAAACTCTTCCTTTCCAAAGAGTACTGAATTAAACCACAATGAAGTCAAAGGTTTGTTCCAAATAAACTGAAAAGTCTGTCATCCTACTGAGAAGCCAGGGGTGGTGGCGCACACCTGTAATACCCGCATTTGGGAGGCTGAGGCAGGAGAACCACTGTAAGTTCGAGGCCAGCTTGGGCTCCATTGAGACCCTGCCTCAAAACACCAAAACAAAAAACACAAAAGTGATTGAGGGAAGACTGTGATATTTAGTAAAAAGCGATGCTCTGAGAGGCAGAGGTGGACTTCTGAGATCTTTGCCATCTCTCCCTGACTCACACAGATGCAAGAGGGTTACTCAGGAACACTAAGCATGCCCGTTTAGCCTCGCACAGCATGCAGGTCAGGGACTAGAAATACGGGGTTCCGTACGGAATACACAGAAGGCGGATCATGTGATCAGCATTTTATTTGTGCTGTGTGCCACTTCCTAGTGCCTCTCCACAGCAGTAGGTGACAGGCAGTATCGTGCCTTCTGCTGTAGTACCCCTAGCCTTTTCCTTGGGTGTGCCAGCACGGCAACTCCTTGCAGGTGAAGTGGGGTCGGTGCCCGGCTGCAGGGGACTCCGTAGTAGGAAGCTGGGCCGTAGACGTTCGTGTGACTGTGACCTCTCCCCTTCTTTCCTCCCAGCTGTCGGAAGGCACGGCCACCCAGCAGACCCTTCACAACCTGCATCCCTCCACGGCCTATGCCGTCGGGGTGGAGGCCTGCACCTGCTCCCACTGTTGCAGCCTTGGGCCTACGGCGAAGCTGAGGACGCGCCCCGCTCCGCCCTCCAGCCTGTCCGCTCCCCGCCTCCAGGAGCTGGGCTCCAGGACGGCCTCCGTCCAGTGGCGGCGCCCCCTGTTTCCCAACGGTGTCCTTCGAAGGTATGAGTGGCTCGCTCGGCAGGAGGGGCGAATCCGCAAAGGCAGCATGCGGGCAGACAGAGGGCTGCCCGCCCAGCACTCTCTGGGGAGGGCTGGCTCATCAGAGATGCAGGGTCACCCGCGTCCTAATGTCCTGTGCACTGTCCTCATCCAGAAATCCATTCAGGGCAGAGGAGCACAGCTAAGTCATCTTTAAATAAGAAAGAACATGCGAAGTGTTTATATTCACCAAAACAGTGTGCTCCACTGGGCTTGAGGTGGCTCCAACCTCAGCTCCAAATCAGTGAATGAATAAAGGAATCTGCTGCTCCTCCTGGATCTCAAAATCACGCTTCCCATAGACCTTTCATGGACCGTAAGAAACCTTTGTGGTTCAATCAGAATGGCCCTGATCAGGTGTAAGATGTCCTAATGAGTCACTGTTTGAGAGAGCAAAGAAAGTACTTTTCTCAAAATAATCTGGAGGGAAAATGTTTCCTTATGCTACACAGAGGAGAGTATTTTGCCACCTTCTTTTTGAATGAGACACATCTCTCAACCAATGAAAATGTCCAGCACCTGGGTGGAAGGCCACCCCAGCATGCATGGTGCCTTCTGCATTTCTCTGTGACTGCAGTCTTCATGCACTGTGTCTGAGAGTGGTTTCCTAAAAATGCAGATCTTACCAAGCTTGTAGCTCCATGAAAACGAAACATCTTTCCAAAAAGCTAAGCAGATGTTAAAGGGGGCCATGCTGATCCCAATGCCCTGTCTTCTTTCCTGTCCACTCTTCGTCCAGCTATGAGCTCCAGCTGTCCGTGGCCTGCTCTCCAGATTCAGCCCTCCCCTGTGCTCCCAGCCAAGCAGAGACAAAGTACAGAGGACCAGGGCTTAGAGCCAGCCTCATGGGCCTCCAGCCTTACACTGCCTACCTGCTCAGAGTGGTGGTGCACAACGAGGCGGGCAGCAAGGCTTCTGAGTGGATCCACTTCCTCACTCACACAGAACGTGAGTACCAGTGGCCGCCACCACCAGCCTGTGTGATGGTCAAACTCAATGTCAAGGCGATTGGCTTGGGAGCCACTTCCAGGTGTCCAGGTGGGTCATGGAGGGCTGGCCTTGGGGTTTATCTACATCTGGTCCCTGACCCCTCCCTTTCTGGCACTCTTCTCTTGTGCCGTTTCCAGACTGCATGGGGTGAGCAGCACTCCTCTCCCAAGCCCCTCTGCCATGATGTCTCTGCCTGGAAGGGAACCATGGACTGAGTCGTCTGAAACCAGGAGCCACATACACCTCTCCAGCTTTAAGTTGTGGGTGCCAGGTATTTTTCCCAGCAACAGGAAAGCTGACCAATTCAGCCACAGAGATAGGAGGGTAGCCAGCAGAGGCTTGCCATAAAAAGTAGGGAAAACAGTTTTTATATGAGATTGATAGAGGATCAGTGATGTGAAATGCTATTGAGACATTGACAAAAATGACTATTAGCCAAAAACGTCCATAGGGTATGGGAATATGGAGGTGAAAGGCAAATTTAGGAAGATTTTTCCTGCATTGTTGAAAACTAGCTTAGAGGAAGTTAAATAATGAATAGAAAGAAAAAAATTGGGCAAATGCATATAGCCATTTTTTAAAGTTTTGTCACTCTCTTTTCAAATTATATGACATCATCCCTAGCATTTCCAGAAAGCATAGAGGCATGACACTGTCAGGAAAAGCACACAGGCAATTAAACACAGAAACAGGCAGTAAACTAATTAATTTTTAAGCAACTAATTAATTTTTTATAAATTAGCTTCAGGTTTTATGAGGTATGTATGTCCATTGTATAAAAATGATAAATACAGAAAGTATTAAGAATGAAATAAGTTCTTCTCAGCCCAGTTACGTAATTTGTGGGGACCACTGGAAAATGAAAATATGTTCAAAATCACTAGGAATTCCAAGACACCAACAGTGAAGTAGCAGAATAAGCCCAGGGCCCTTCTGGGTGAGGGGGTCACATGAGCATAAGGTAAATCCCCCTATAATCCCACTGCCCTAAAGCAACTGCTGTAACATGTCACCAAAATCAAGTCTTTTAGTCCCTTTATTTTCATAATTTGTATTACATGGTTGACATCACACTATAATAAAAATTGCATAATCTACTTTTGAATGTGACATTATATTTTTATTTTCCATAATATTAAAAACTCTTTAACAATCAAGGATAACAGTGGTGTAATATTCCATCTATGAACTGGTGGGGCATTTTGGTTCTTTTTGGTAGTTTTTTTTAATCAACATGACAAGGCCAATTTTTATTTGAATGTCTTATGACTTTGTTAAATTTGATAAATGAAATTTACTGCATCAAGAATTTTAAAGCATTGGATGCTTATTGCAAAATGGCTTTTTGGAAAGATTGTATCATATTATAATTTCTCCTAAAATACTCTATTTGCCATTAAACATTATAGCTTTTGCAGTACTGGGGACCAAATCCATGGATATTCTACTAATGAACTACATCCCCAGCACTGTTTGTTTTTTGAGATAGGGTCTTGCTAAGTTGCCCAGTCTGGCCTTGGATTTGCAATCCTCCTGCCTCAGTCTCCTGAGTACCTGGGATAATAGACATGCACTATGATACCCAGCTAAACATTGTACTGTTTATTAAACATAAGAAATATACATCTATTGAAGTCTAATGCCTCACAGAAGGACCTTAACGTGTCCAGCAGCATTGTGGCCTGCAGGGTGTTAGGGTCAGGTCAAATTTAGAGAAGACTTGGTTGTTCCTAGCACTGTTTAAGAATTCTAGAAATAATGTTTACCACAAACCTGTGAGTGAGTACTATTGTTAGCCTACTGGACAGAATACAAACAAGAAGATAGTCTAAAAATAGTGCATGAAGTTTTATATTCGATGTGATCACATGTACACTCAGCAAAGGGTTTGGAGAAGCAGGAACACTTCAGCCCCTCTCCCCAGTTACCCTCCAGTGGAGAGGAGAGGCATGGTATAGATGTTTAAACCTGGCTAGCTGAAGAAAGGAGTCCTCATTTGAAGCCCCTGCCAGTTCCCATGGTGTAAGTACTCCGCCGTTATGGAGTACATTATTCCAGTCACCAACATGGCAGCACAGAGAACAGAAAAAATAACTTCGAGTGCATTGGTAACAATAACATGTAAAGAAGTAGTGAAAAGTTATGAACTTTGACTATTACTTGAATACCATCACATTTATATAATTTAATGTTTAAAAATAGCTAGGTCTAACAGCTGCCTCACAAAATTCTTTTTTAAAATGAATTTTATTGGTACATTTTAGGTATACAATATAACGACATTCATCATTGGAAATTTGCACCTTTACATAATCTCTCTTGGTTCTTATTTTTCCCCCTTTCCCTGCCCTCCCTTCAACCCCTCCATCCCTCCCTATTCACATAGTCTTTGTTTCCATTTTTTTTCTTTTCTCATATTAATTCCATTCCCTTCTTTCCTTTCCCCTACCCCTCCTACTTCCCCTTCCTCTTTGCCCCTTTTCTTCCTATTTCACATTATCTATTATACATTTTAGTCCTTATTTATACTTTCAGTTTCTCACAGTAGAGAAACTATTCGGTATTTACACGTGTGTCCTATTTATTTCACTTAAGAGTATCACCTCAATGTGCATCCATTTAGCTATAAATGTCTCTAATTTCTCATTTTTATGGCTGAGTAGTACTCCATTTTATTTTAAAAAAACACATTTTCTTTATCCAGTCTCCAGTTGATGGGCAATTGGGCTGTTTCCAAGTTTTAGCTATTACAAATGGTGCTGCTGTGAACATGGGTGCACATATATCACTGTGGGATGATTCATTTAATTCTTTGGGGAAGATACCCTGATTCAACATATGCAAATCAATCAGTGTAATACACTATAACAATAGAGCTAAGGGCAAAAAACATATGATCATCCCAATAGATGCAGAAAAACCAACAAAATCTAACACACATTTATGATAAAAACCCTATAAAAATTGTAATAGACGGTCTCTACCTCAATCTGATAAAAGCCATCTATGAAAAACCAACAGCCAACATCATACTAAATAGTCAAAAACTAAAATCCTTCACAGTAAAATCAGGAACAAAATTCTTGACATTAACAATGGAGGATGAAGCAACTTCAACATACAACTGGAGAGTAAGCACTGGTGAGTCAGTAAATTGTACTCTTTAAATAACTGTGTGTGGACTATAACAAAGCAATATAAGTACATTAGTCAGCTTTCCCACAAAAGTCCCAACACCCACAGCTCAAGTAAGGAGAGGTTTAATTTGGTTCACGATCTCAGAGGATTCAGTCCATGGTTAATTGGCTCCAAGGCAGGAGTATCATGGGAGAAGAATGTGGTGCAGCAGAAATGCTTAATTCATGGTGGCCAGGAAGCAGAGCAGGAGGACGATACCAGAGGAGAGGGAAGGAGGGAGAGATCAGATACAGACCCCAAGGTCATAGCTCCATGACCCCCCAGATCCACCCAGAAATGTGCTTCACCAACTCCCAGGGCAGATCCCAAAGCCTATCAGGTTGACACTTCAACCCAACCACCACTGTGGGCTTTAAAGTTGAGCAAGTCTAGGTTCAGATCCTTGGTTTCTTACCAGGTTGACATTCTTCAGGATATTTGGTCTCTCTGAACGTTTCCTCCTGTGAAAAATTAAGAACCAATCTTTAGCAGATCTTCTGGAGGATTAAGTGAAATAAACTAGTCGTGCTAAGAGCATAGCAGCTCTTACTATTTTCTCAGTCCCCTCTGAGGAGGTTGCATAAATCCATGCTCCTCGTTATTCTGACTGTGTGCTGTTTTCCCTCAAGAAAGCCCACAAATCCTACAAGTCAAAATTCTATGTATTTTCATACCATTGCAAGCTTTTTCTTTTTAGTACTCTTTTGACACAGGGAACAATGGAAACTTGTTAAAATGACAGAGGGAAGCTACAAACAAATACAATCCTGTGTTCTCTTGTGATACTAGGCAGAGTTAGTGTTGGAAATTTACAGAAACTTAAAGAGGGCTTGATAACTTTTGTCTTGGTATTTCCAGAAAGTTATTCTTATGACTACATAAAAATATTTTATCTTGGAAGGTAAGAATCATATGTCTTAAAGGGTTAATCTTTTGGTTACAAAAACATGATTTTTTCTCACTTTGTTATATTTCTTACCAGATGGATTTATTGTTTTAAAGAAAGAACTGATATGCAATTTATTTTCACCACTCCTTTCATTTCTTAAAAGCCAATTTAGTATGTAGATGGATCTTATGCTTTCACAGAGGTATTGATTACTTTGGAGAAAACAAGATCTCATGAAATAAATCACTTCTGACTCAACAAAATGATATGGTATCCCTCATTTGTTTCTACAAAAATTATTTGCTCGAAGATGAGCCCCAGTTAGAGATTTTTGTTTTGTTTTGTTTTAGTAAGGAGCTGAAAAATGTGAACACGCCTGTAAAATGCAGAGTTGCTTCTGTATCAGATATAATACTTAGGAGACCTGAGCTTTATTATATACTAATGTACTATGGTATTGATTGATTAGTCAGGGCAATGAATTATTATACTTGAATTGCTGTTTGCAAAGGCTTTTTAACTATCTTGGAAAACAAACGAATGGTTCAAGAAAAAGCTTTAAAAATAAATGGGTGGCAAAAGGACATAATTCACCATCTAAGCAGTTTGGTTTGGAGAAATAAAATATATTAACTTCATCTAGTCCTTGGGGCTTTGTAGCAATAAATATTGATTTGATATGAAAAATAGCTATATACTGTAGATAACAGTGTTAAGGACACTTTACCTGTTAAAACAGGGAAAAGGCAACAAAATATGAGCTCCAGGGTTATGTTGGTGAGCAGATCCATTGTGTGTTAATGGCTGTATTTATAAAACACCACTTGCTATTGATTTTTCTTTTTTGGAAAGCGGGTACAAAGTTGCTGAAAAAACATTTCCCATGTTCCTATCAGTTTTCTTTCCAGGACCAATACCAGTTCTTTTATGGGTTCCAGTAATGCTGGTATTTTGTTTTGTTTTATTTTTGCTCATAGTACCCCCAAAATAGAAGTGCACACTTCTGCACTCCTGCGAGATGAACATTTCTAGTTTGTGTGCATTTCTCCCAGCAGTGCCTCAGTTCCAGGTGCCGTTTTCTGTGGACAGCAACGTGTCTATGGTGTGCCTGGACTGGAGAGGCACCTTCCTCCTGAATGGCCCGCTCAAGGAATACGTGGTGACCGATGGGGGGCAGCACATCTACAGCGGTCTTGACACCACCCTCCACATACCCAGGAGAGCACACAAAAGTTAGTGTCTGACTCCCACTGCTCAGGGGACAAGGAGCTCTGCTCCCTAGCTTGATTTGAGGTTAAATCTGAAAGGGGACTAGCAGTGCTTGCTGTTCAAATCCCTTGGTTTAAGTGGCTGCTTCTCATGGAAAAGTACAGCTCAGAGGCCGTGAGGTTCTCTTCCCATTGCAGCCTGGAACACTGCAGTGACTGTGCACTTCCAGGAGGGTGCTGCCTCCTGGGACTTAAGTGTCCCTGGGAAGAAACATGACAGGTTTAGCTCACAAAAGAAGTAGCACTCACAGGTAGTCGTTGATTATCCTAAAACAATTCATTTTATTGACTTTGACCTCTTTGAGAGCCTGCACTAAGGGGTTTCTTCAACCTCAGGATCTTCCCTTCCTTAATTGCATGTCATTTTCCTCTGTCCTTTTTGCAGTACTGGAGATTGAACACACAGCCTTCCCACTGAGCTGTATGTCCTGTCCTTTGTTTTGATTTTTTATTTTGAGACAGGGTTTCATTAAGTCACTAAGTTGCCCCGGCTGGGATCAAACTTATGATTCTCCCTCCTCAGCCCCCCAATCTTGGCTTTTAAATTAAAGTGAGAAAAAACTTTACATGTTATTACAGAATTTCTAGTAACCAGCATGGCCCCAGGACCAATAGATATGGAATCATTCTAAGCTAAGCAGTCTGGGTTTGTACAATTTTTGTTGTTGTTTACTTGCAAATACTATTTTGTTTCACTGAAAGAGAGCAAGCTCCAGCATTACCTTTATAGTATTTGAAACTTAACGATAACATCTCCCAGTGATTCAGGTGTACACATTCACGGTTACATTTCCTGGTCACCTAGCCAGCAGGTTGTGATGGGAAGGTGGCCTGACAGTTGGAAGATTTGTGCTCTACCTGGCCAGGCCTCTGGCCATCTGTGTGACCTGAGAAGAGTCACATTCCTGGCTTTTGCAAGAGAAATTTTGATCATGCAATTTTTAACATTCCTTTTGAGCTCTCTTGTTAAGTACGAAATTCTGGACACTTAGTAGGAGGCACACCTGATAGATTTAAAAGAACAGACTTGGACTATATGCAGATTAAAATATACTTTGCCTTCTATCCTTTTCTCCTGACAATTCTTTTGCTGCAAAGGCCCTAATATTCTTTAGCTCTTTTACTTATGGATATGGTGTTATATCTTTTTCATCAGAAATAAATTTGAATGTTAGGTGTTAGCATTCTGTCATTGTAGCAAATAGCTGAAATAATCAGCTTATTAAGAGAAAAGGTTTATTCTGGCTCTAAGGCCACATATGCAATGACCTAAAGTCCTCTCATTAGGCTCCACCTCTTAAAGGTGCCACTGTCTCCCATAATGCCATGCTAAGCCTTTGGGGGATATTTAACATCCAAACTGGCGTTAGGCAAAACCTCACAACTTGCTCTGAAATGGTATTTTCAGATATTTCATGGTAGGACACATTGCTCTTTTAAAAGTAAGCCCTGTAGTTTTCAATGTTGAATGAGTCATTTATCAGTTTTTTCTTTTGTCTAGCCTTCTTTTTCCAGGTCACCTGCACTACAGATGTAGGAAGTGTTAAGACACCATTGATCCAATATGACACCTCTAGTGGATTTGGTATGCATTTAACTTATTTTTTGTTGGTTTGTTTGTTTCTGAGACAGGGTCTTACAATGTAGCCCAGGCTGGCCTTGAACCCACAGCAATCCTTCTGCCTGAGTCTCACAAATGCTGGGATAACAGCCATGTACTGCCATGCCTGGAATTAACTCGTATTTGTGGTAGCACCTACTCATTTTCCCTAGGAAATCTGCATTTGTTTATGCACGCCTGTGTTCATATGGTTGTGCTGACTTTATGGAGGGAATGGTGTTAGGTGTTAAAAGTTTCTTTTTTAAGTCCTCACAGAACTTACATTAGGCAAGGAGTTAGCAAAGTAAAAATATGCTTTTATAATTCCAAGCCCATTGAATTATAAATGTGGAATGACTAGAAAAATCTGACAATCTTCTCTCCTGCCCATAAATCCTGTTTTAAAACTTGGTGTACACAAAAAGTGATTTATAAATGAAGTCAGCAGAAGGAGATCAAAGGAAGGGAGAAAATATTCTGCCAATTTATACTGATTCTAATAATATTCTGGATTCAGAGCCCAAAAATGGTGAATTGGGGACATTTGTCTGTATTCTTTATAAAATATTATGACTTACTATTAATTCCAACTAATTTAGCTGAAGAGATGAAATTATAAATTAAAGAACATCTTTTAAATTTAGCTCTAACCATAATCTCTGAATCTAATGCGCTATTTTATAATTTCAAAGGGCAAATTAGAAAAATGGCAAATCTTTTCTATTAGAACAAATTTGAGACACATACTCTATTTTAAATTCTAGTAATTAATGTTATATCAAATTAGTATGCATGTATGCTTTTATGGAAAATAAACATGTCCCAAATACTGAAAAATGGGTGAGATAATGTAATTCTGAAAAACAGTTTCAGTCTGTAAAATATAATTCTATTTCCCGACTTTACATGTCCAGGTGCCATATAAAGTTTCATGCAATACCTGACACTTTTCCTCCCATGTAGTTGATCTCATATTATTTAACAGCAGCTGTGAGGGAGAGAAGACTTTACTGGTAATCCCTTAGCAGCTCCAGGGTTTCCAGAAGGGGACAATGGGGTGGGGGGTCCCAGGAATCCATCTGGGGATGTTCTGCAGTGAGTTGAGAGGATGACAAGTCCAGTTCGGTTTCCCTCTTGACTCTGCTTGTTTATTATAGTTTCCTCTGCCCTGGTAGAGATCAAGAATAGGGGGCTGAGGAGTCTGCTCTTCCGGTGAGTGCTGCAATGATTCCAAGGCAGGGGACCGTGTGGCCAATGCCATGCCCTGTGTGACCCTGGGAAGGAACCTGTACTCTGACACTGCCTGTGGGGGTGCTGGGTTCCCTTTGGAGTCGAGGCGCAGGCCTGGAGCTCCATGCCAACCGTGAACCTCCCATTTGAGGCCTGGGTGCACCCCTTTAAAGGGAAAGGGCACTTTGCAAAGAAAAGGGGATGGGACACAGCAACAGCATCCTGATTTGGGCCAAGAGGAGACAGCTGCAGTCAACTCCTGAACATGAGAGTGTCCCCTGCTGAGCAGGGTGCAGCCCTTGGGTCTGGAGCCTGAGCTCTGTGCGGATTCCAAGAGGTGCTGCCCACCATACCCAGAGTCAGCTTTAATTTTTATGATAGGACTTCTGAAACCCTCCTGCTCCCTTGCCTGGGGGCCACCTCTGAGCAGAACCCAGGCAGGGACCTCATTTCCCTTCTGAGGCTTCCCTCAGGTGTGCTGCCCTCCACGCCTAGGGGCTCCCAGCCGGGCCTGAGCCACCCATAAGTTCCCTGAGTCCCAGCCCTGCCACGCACACAGGAGACTCAGCTTCTCTGTGCTGTAACCAAGGTTGCTGTGCTCTGAATCAATCAACACAGATTGGCACATTGGTTCCTAGTAAGAGGATTTCCTTCCTGCTGAGCTTGAGTAGAGCTTTGACTGCAAATCTTCATTCCAGAGCAAGGAAGCAGGGGCCCATGGAGTCAAAGTGACTTCTTCCACCCTCGACTTGGCCAGAATTAGGGTTCGCAGAGAAGTGTCCCTGTCCCTCCCCCTCCCCCCTCCTCCCATGGAGCTATAACTTTAGTCTCAGCCACCCCTCTTCTTGCTCCCTTTGATACTTCCCCGATTTCGAACTCTCCCCTCCCTCCTTCCCCAGGCATGTGTGTGTGGAGCTCTCAGGCCCATGAAGGCCCTGGGATGCTGCCCTTAGGGATGTTTGCCCGGTGAGTGAGCAGGCAGAGTGAGCAGATGGTGCACCTGCATCTGCCTGTCCTCCTGCCTCTGGCATGTGCCTTCTGAGGGCGGCTCTCTGGCTCTCAGTCCCTGCCACCCTGAGTGGCGGCTCAGTGAGCTGCCCAGGCTTCGGAGCTGGACCCAGCACGAGGCTGAGTGGACGCAGACCTCTGAGGGCCCTCCTACTGTCAGCCCCCTTGACACTGTCCCGCAGTGACCCCAGTTCGGCTCTGGTTCATCCGGGTTTTCCTGGCTTAGTCTGTTTCTCGCAACTGACACCACAATTTAAATGAGGAAAGGGGTCCTTCTTTCGGCTCACATTTACACCCCATGGTTCAGTAGAAGGGTCGGTGGGTCTGGCGGAGGACAGCCACTCAGGTCATGGGGACCAGGAAGCAAAGGGAAGAGGGAGGAGCCAGGGAGGGAGATACCTTCCAGGACACGCCCCAGTGACACTACCGACCCTGCCAGCGCACCACAGTGGACAAATCCACCACAGGGTCCGCATGAGCCAACCGCCTTCCCAAACCTGTGCCTCTGCAGCATGAGGCTTTGTGGATTCATTCCAGGTCTAAACCCTAACACCAGGCCCTGTGCACAAGGCTTGAGATTCCTGCTGCGGTCCCTCCTTTGGCCCTTGGCGTAGGACCTGGCTCAGGGTAAACGTTTATTAAACATGAGCTACTTCTGCATGATGTGCAGAGAACCCTATAGACCTTCAAACATGAGCAGAAATCAAGGGTAAGTGGTCCCACTGCTGAAAGATTTATTTCCATGGGACGCACTCCCAGTGCACTTGACTGGTGGTTTGCAGACCTTTATCTGTTTCCCAGAGAGGCCACGGACCGGACCAATACCTGTAATGACAACATGGTAGTGAGCACAGGCTGCTGGCCTCGCAATGGAAAGTGGGGTCTGAAGTCTCAAATTGAGCATGCACAGAACTCAGGAATGCAGCGGCTGTTGATTAGTGCAGGGACCTTGGGTGTAGGCAGCTCTGCAGCCTTGACCCACAGCTTAGGAAAGGACTTGGCTCCCGGCACACGGCTGAGAAATGAGACTCCGTCGGGGTTACTTTAGGTTTACTCTAAAAGCTGCATGCCCAGCTGTCTTGTCCAGAAGCATGGCAGGGTAGTAGTTATTTCCACCCCCAAACAGCAGTGCCAGGAGTCTCAGCAAGGCCTGTTAGCTGCTGTATAATCCGGGAGACCTTTAGCCCTTACCCCGCCCGCACACAAGGGTGAACACAGCTTCCCTCCCTCCTGCTTTACTAACAGATGCCAGGGTGCAAGATGCCAACATCGCCTTCTGAAATAACCTCTTCCTTTTCTTCCTCTGCCTTATGAAGGTCTGGTGCTGACAACTCCTGGAGGAAAGAGGGGCTCCGGGAGCAAAAGCGGAGAATTCTACAGCGAGCTGTGGTTCATCGTGTTACTGGCGGTGCTGGGCTTGATCTTATTGGCCATTTTTCTGTCCCTGATACTACAGAGAAAAATCCACAGGGAGCCATACATCCGAGAGAGGCCCCCCTTGGTGCCCTTTCAGAAGAGGATGTCGCCTTTGAATGCCTACCCTTCGGGGGAAACCCCAGTGGTGCGTATGGAAAGGGGTGGCCCTTGCCCTGTTGCTGTGACTGGCTTTTCTCTTGGGGGCAGATGTCTCCAGTCATAGTAGCAAGGATCTAGAAGACAGCTCTGTGCCACTAAATGTGAGGACCACAGGGGTCTCGCCCTAGCATGGCTTCCTCACAGCAGAGTCCACCTGGAAGCCTTAAAAACCCCTATTAGGGCCGGGGATGTAGCTCAGTGGTGCTGCACCTGCCTCACAAGCACAAGGTCCTGAGTTCAATCCCCATTACTGAAACAAAAAACCCTACTGATGGGGGTGTAGCGCATTGACCGAGCATGTGTTTAGCATGCCCACAGCACCAAACCCAACAGCATTGCCACCAGCCTTATCCCGGGAAATCCGATGATTCCATGGAGCCAGAGGGTTAGTGATTTTTTTTTTCTTTTTATTCCAAAAGGGACTTTAATGCATAAATAACCAGGGATGAGTTTTTCTGCTCTTTAATTGTAAGTGGGAACGGTGGAGAAGAGTTGTATGTTGAAACCGCCTGGAAGTTTAGAGGTTATCAGACTGTGATATCTGGAGGACCAGTCGTGCTGGCGCACACCTGTAGTTCCAGCACTCGGGAGGCTGGGCCAAGAGGATCACTTGGAGTTTGAGGCCAGGCTGGGCCACATAGTGGGTTTAATTCCAGCCTGAACTACGTACTGAGACCCTGTCTCAAAAATAAAAGGAGAGGGAAGAGAAGGGAAGGCCACAGTGCTCATTCCGTCCTCGGCCGTGGCAGCCCAAGCCACTGAGAGTGCATGGCTCTCTGAGGCGCCTGCTCACCCGACTCCCACAGTAGTCGGGCAGAGGTCACGGTTGGGGAGCCCCGTCCCCGCCCCCGAGACGACGGAGGAAAGGACTGAAGCCCCTGGCCCTGTGCACGGCTAGCGTCAGGGAGAAGCACACAAGCACCGTGTGAGGCTCACGTTTCCGGGGGCCGGTGTGGGAGGGGGGCGCTGGCTGCCGGGGCTGTGACCCGGGGCGCGGGCTCGATCTCCGCTGGCCACACTAAGGAGAAGGGACCTTGCATTAGGGGCTCAGAGTCCTTGGTGACCCCGGGGGAAGCATCTGAACAGGAAGGAGCCGGATTGGCCGACGCAGTGTCCCACAGGAGCTTGTCATCCGGGTGGGGCAAGGAGACGTGCCTGCGCACGAGCACGTGCGCACAGAGTGCAAGGCCCTTCCCTCGCCTGCACGCTGGCCTTCCCGGTGCCGCTGGCCTGTCCCGCACACCCGCCCGGTGACCAGGTGAGGCCCCTTTGTGCACTGCACTCACTGCCAGACGGCTCCTCTCCACTCTGAACAGACGCAGGCCGAGAGGTGCCAGAGACCAGAGCTCTATATTTTATTGACGTTTTTCTAGGGTACGAGGCACACGGTACAGCTAAGGCCATGAGTGGTCTTACTCGTAGTTTAAGTACCGATTTGGAGATGCTTTGATTTGCTACAAAACTAAACAACTAATGCCATAACTTTGGACAGTGTGCAGTTAATCTCCACTCACCGGGTGGGTTTAATTGCAAATCCTGAGTGGGGGCGGGGGGTGTGTGTGTGTATATGATTATGCTGTGTTTGGAGAAACACAAAGAATTTATTTAAAACAGTTTTAAACAAGCACTGATGACCCCGTTTTTTCTCAGTTTGACTCTGTGGCTGACATATCTGATGTGTCTAGCAGCGTCACCCTAAAGAGCTACACCATGCACTTCGAGGTACCTCTGCATGCTGCATGGATGCATGGCCTCTTGCGTGAAGTGCTGATCACCCATGGAGATGCAGGCCTCCTCTCCTGATTGGAACAGTTCAGTCAGAAGCCCACATGTTTAGAGCAGCTGGGTTTATCTTAAGGGCCATTCTGAGTCTGAAAAGTAACTTTGTCTTGCTGATGTTAATGTTAGTATCAGACCAGGTTTGGGAGGCTGGAATCCTGTAAACTGTGGAACAATCATGAATGAGAGGGAGGGAGGGAGGGAGGGAGGGAGGAGTCAGTTTCCTATACCAATCCCGGACGCCTAACGTGAAGTCCAACCCGCGCTCACTCAGTGGGCGACCAGGAGAACGCTGTTCTTCGCTGTGGGAAGAGGTGTTCTCATCGTGCAGGTCGGTGTGGACAGGCAGCGGTGCCTGGCTGGTTCCCCTCGGGGAACACGGGCTGGAGCAGCAGTGCGTGGGCGCCCCAGGCCCCAAAAGCGCTGGCCGCCCCAGGCGAGGGAGCCAGAAACCCCGCCACGGGGCTCAGGCCTGAGCCACAGGAGGGCTGGAGTCAGCCATTCCCCTTCGGAGACCATGTGTGAGTTGCAGTTCCCTGCCCAGCCCAAGCCCATCTTCCCCACGTGAATCACCCACAACGACTTCCTCTTTAGGGATTAGCTGATACCAGAATCCCTCGGTCAGGGACACCCACGAGTCTCCGGAGCGGCCGGAGCGTGTCTGTCCTGAGGATCCCCAGTCAAAGCCAGATCAGCAGAGCCTGTTCCCAGGGCTCCCTGCACCACAGCGCCAGCCAGCTCGTGGACATTCAAGACAAGAAAGTCCTCCTTGATGACTCGCTGTGGGAAACCATCGTGGGCCACGGCAGTGGACTGGTGAGTGGATCCCAGGGCGCTGGACGGTTCAGCTTCCGGGGCTGCCCCTAGTAGGGAGAACGGACTGGTTTGCTGTTGTGACTGCAGGTGCTTGTAAGCAGGGTAGATACTTCGTTGTGTTCTTCTGGTATAAAATAGACACTGAAAAGATAAATGCATGAAAAGGAGAACAAAGCAACAGGTGTGCAGATGTGTATTGAGGTAGAGGCCTGGGACAACACTGAGAGAAAAGGAAACCTTGTAAAGTCCAGACGCCTGGACACCAGCAGAGATGAGAAACAAAATAGCCCCTCACCTGCTTCCGGCTGGCAGCCAGGGAGGGGCATCTCCCGGGGCAGGTGTGCAGGTGAGGGAGTCCCAGCAGTCAGCGCAGATCCTGAAATCCCAGCTACTGGAAGATTCACAGCCCTTGCAGGCTCGCAGCCTAACTGGGTTAGAGGCTTGAAAACTGCACTGCAGCGTGGCTTCGGAGATGGACTCATTCCGTCTCCAGGTGAAGCCCTGAGTGCTGCAGCTGGGGACTGTCCCAGAGGGGACCCATTGCCTGAACAGGGACTGCTCTAGGGGTCAGAAAGCCCTGCATAGTCCCATCTCTGGGACGCCAGAGAGTCCACCTCGCTAGTTCAGTGTCACCCAGAGGGGTACACAAGGTGCACCCACCAGAACCTGTGGGTCAGGGAGCCCGATGGGGAGACTGTGGAGTGGGCAGGCTCAGGACCAAGGGTCACTAAAGAGAAAGAGCTCGAGTTTCCACTGCTCCCCAGCTTGACTCTGTGCCTGATATATCTGTGTGTGGAGGGGGCTAAGGCATTTCCGAGGGACCCTGCCATGACCCCCAGCTGCAGCCCTGTCCCCAGCATAAGGACTGGGAGAAACTGCTGCAGCCAGGGGAATTTTACCTGGTCAGCTGTGAGCCACTCACTCGTGCTCAATGCCTGGCGAGTACTGCAATTTAAAGAAGTGGGGGAGGAATCCCCTCACAGTCACCCAGAGCCCCAGCCCCCTCTGATGTCTGACTCCCACTCCATGGTGAGCATGCCCAGTGTAGCGGCAGAGGGGAACAGAAACACTTCCTGAATCTGCACCCATATGCACTCCCTGCATCCGGGCCCTGGCCTTTATCTGACCGCGCATCTCCAGTCCTCTCCCTCTGAAGACCTGGTCCCACAGCAGGGCCCAGGCCAAGGACAAGCGCTTCGGGGCCCTTGTCACTGCTGCAGCCTCCCCTACAGAGACCCAGTCAAGCAACAGCTGCCATCGAGCATGCCTGGGAAACCCACAGGGGCCCCACTGCAGGAGTGACCACATGCACTCTGCCATCCATACCACACCCACCTGAGATGTTAGGGTAGCTCCACTCTTGTGCAATCTGCAGAGCAGTGAGTCTCCATCCAACTCTGATGTGCTGTGTGCGGTCACCTAACTCACGGATCCTGACCAAAAAGGCTTAGGGAGATTATGCTAAGGTCCTCAGCAGGAAACAAACAACATCACACTACTAATGGATCGCCAGACACATCAGTAGGAGAAGACACATCTGTAGGAGAAAGCTGCTTACTAAGAACCCATCTCATACAATAGCATATATATACATTTATGATGCATCCTAAAGTTTATAACGTTCTAGTAATAGATTCCAAAGATACCAAAGTGGATGAATGTCAGAAAAAGAATCCAAAGGAAAGCCAACATCACAGTGCATGCCTAGAATTCCAGCACTAAGAGGCCAAGCAAGAGGAGCCCAAGTTGTAGGCCAGCTTGGGCTACAGAGCAAGTTCAAGTTCAACCTATCTCAAAAGACCAAAAACAAAAACCGTTCCCACAATCACAAGAAGAATCCAAAGATGAATTTTTAAAAGCTCAATGAGATTTAAGAGAGTATAGGAAGACAATACATGGTATGAATGAAAAATTTATCATAGGTAAAATGAAGAGCTCTATAAATCTGAAAAAAATTCAATCAAAAGCCTCAGCAACAGACTTGATTAAGCAGAAGAAAGGATATTGGAGCACTAGGACAGGTTTTTGAAACAGCAAGTTCAGACAGAAATCTTAAAAAATAACAAAGAATGGAAACTGCACACAAATCTTCAGGGTACCATTAAAAGATCAAATGGCCATATCATCGGCATACCCAAAGGGGAGGAAATAAACGTTAAGGCCATAGAAAATGTATTTAATGAAATAACAGCAGAAAATTTCCCAAATCTTGGGAAAGGTATGAACGTCCAGGTACAGGAATCCTCCAAAAACCCCAAATAGAAACAATCAGAAAAGAACCTCACCATGATGTAATCAAACTGTCAGAAGTACAGAACAAAGAAAGCATTTTATAATCTCCAAGAAAAAAAATCCAAAGTCACATTTAAGAGTAAGCCCTTGAGAGAGAAGGTGAGCCGGTCCCAGCACCTAGAAGGAAGCTCCCCGCCACCATCCCAGGCTCCTAGGGCAGAGAAGGTGAGTTGCGCAGGTGCCAGAGGCACATTCCCCCCACCCCATGGAAATGAGAAGACACATAAACAAGCCTCAGAAACAGACTTCCAGATCACCTACAGCAACCCCAAAGGGAAATGAGAT